CCACAAGAACATTTTTGTTTGTGTTAGACACGAGATTTGGCAATTCAGAGATAGCCAAGGTGCACAATCACGTTAACTTATTTTGTAACCATATAATGTTGGCTAGAAAAATATATGCATTAGACTGTACCAAGACAGAAGAGTATATTATCTAATACCAGTGGCATAGCTCGCAAATGGTCATCTTTTGTATAGAGCCTATTTGGCGAATGATTTGTCAATTACACATGCACAGTTGGTTATTCTCCACAACTCAAAGAAACCACAGGTGCACACTTCATGACCGAGTTTAGGGTTAGAGTGCTTTGCAACATGTGAAAATCAACCTCGTAATTTTGAACGAGTTACACTGTTTCCCCTTGCTATATTCCTCTTGGACAATTTGGCACATTGTTGTTCAAAAAGGTTTGCACAAATGTCCTTATTGGAAATAAAAAAATGTTAGAAAATACACGCAGAGAACAGCAGGGTCTCAGCATGAGCTTAAACCATTTTTAAAAAGGAACATCTTACTCATTCTTACTTTGAGTTAAACTGAATTCTAATTCAAGCTGAAAATATTTCACTCTAACAGCAGTCTTTATAGAGCCATGGTTGACCAAACAAACCAACCAAGAGAAGAGAATTAAACTTTGAATGTTATTCAACAATAACACAAGAGGTAATTAATGACCAGGGATTTAGCCAGGATTTTCAATTGGGGTCTTATTAGAATTAGGGAAAGCAGCAACATGAGACCAAACAAACAGAAGGGACTTTGGTAACTGACATGAGATTTCCTGCTAAGCCCACAAATCTGCAGAAGTAGCTCTGAGCCCTCAGTGGGACTACCTGCTGCTGGAAGGAGATCACTGGGTATCAACAATGCTTGGTTGTAGATTATCCACACAGTAACATACAATTCGTACATAAAAGCTGCACAGTCTGACTTTGGCTGCCAACTCCTGATGTCATGCTTTGCCTTTCTGACACACACCACACTAGGGCTGAACGATATGGACAAAATTTCATATCTCGATATTCATGCCAGATATCTCGATATCGATACGATACGATATGACCACGGGTTCGGTGAAAACCAAGCATTTTTCAGAAAAATAAAAACATCATAAAACAAAAGAGTCATACACTCATCATGCAGCACACGGTGGTGTTGTTTCAAGTGGTGAAACATGTTTGTTGTGTTCCCTTTCTTCGTCGCAATTTTCGCCAAGCAAGACCTGCACAACACCTCGCTCTGGTCGACATCCTCCTTTCTAAACCCAAAATACCTCCAAATAATAGAGGAGGATTTATTTTTTGGCACTAAATTAGGTTGTGCACTGCCACCGGCCGCATTATCTTCTGCACTCATGTCTCGTTTCTTCAGTTCTGATTTCCCCGCTGTGAGTATCCTCGTGTGTGTGTGGCTGTGTCCGTCTCCGTCACTCCCAAGTCCCACCCTCCTATGTTTGTCATTGGTTGGGTTCAGCTGTCAATCCACAGCAAGCATGAACTAAGCTTTGTGGTTGGCTGGCCGTAGTGGTGCGTTCAATGGCAATCGGCCAAATGTTTATGGAGACTTCCACAGCTGTACAAGCAGGGCGAGTGCGGGGGAAATACGGATGAGAACTAGCTTTGTAGCTATAATCCGGCATATTTACATTTGTTTTTATACTGATGTTCATTAATGTGCATTGTCCCTATTCAAATAAATATAAAAAAATATATATATATATCGTTTATACCATTGCTTTTTTTATATTGATTTCTTGAATGTTCATATCGAGATATCGATACGATAACGATATATCGTTCAGCCCTACACCACACTACAAAAACTTGAAATCTTGCCAAGTACATTTGTCTGATATCTAGACAGAATGTGTCTTTGCACTTGCTATAAGACACAATAACTTCAGAAGTAACAATGCAGTGAGATATAGGCTCTTGTTTTTAGACAATGCATCATCTTGTTAAGTCAAAAATCTTATTTTGAGTTGTATCTCAGGTGAAACTTATATTTATTAGAAAATCACCAACTAACATCAGAAAACAGAACACTTCTGAGCGTTTGCAGCTTATATTGTAACACAGAATTTCCTGATTCTGGTCAAATATAGTTCAAAATGAGTTCTCCCGGCTAATTACAAGATCTGATTTATCTAAATATCCCATCTTGTTTCAATAAATCTTACCAAGCTAATTTTCACTTTTTCTACTTATTTCAAGTGAAAACACCTTGTTTTCATAATTTTTTCAACTTGTTTTTGGAGCAGCATTTTTTCCAGTGCAACAGTATTATTTTCCTCTCCATTTGGTTACCAATTTCAATCGTGGATTGACTGGCTGTGATTGTGTTGTTTACAGTAAGAAGGATCAGGCCAAAAGTGTGACTGGATGAGTGAGAACATAAGCAGACATCACCACTCCCCTCCAATTTATATTCCATGACCTGTTTTGGAGCACTCTGTAGAGCATGGCGCCTCCTGAATGAAAACAGCAGTTGTCCTTGTTTATATGGAGGATGTCTTGGCACTCACAACCTCCCTCTTTCATGACTATCAACATATAATGTTTTATCCATCAAAGTCCTACCTGAACATCAGCAGGAGAGGACTCTTTAAAGTAGAGACACTACATACTGATATACACCTGAACATCAGCAGGAGAGGACTCTTTAAAGTAGAGACACTACATACTGATATACACCTGAACATCAGCAGGAGAGGACTCTTTAAAGTAGAGACACTACATACTGATATACACCTGAACATCAGCAGGAGAGGACTCTTTAAAGACACTACATACCTGAACATCAGCGTTATATATGTCGTCTTTAAACATTCTATTCTTAATGATCAATTTTTAAATAAAAATGCAAATTGTATATTGGACATATTTTATGCTGAGTCGCCCTATCAGTAAACTAGGCTGCTTTATTTCTCCATTTGATGAAATCATTGAGAAAACTCAAGTCCTGCTGAGAAGATAATCATGACATCATGTTATCATCAACATGCAAGATGAAAACAATATTGCAAACTTCCATTTCCTAAAAAATATGCGAAGGAAATGTGATTTAAAGTGCATTTCCATGCATTGCTGATATTCAAACCGCACCTTGCAGATAAGACTTGAATAAAATATTGCATTTCTTTTTTTTTCACATGGATTTGAAGAAGGGCTGCTTATCGTTCCCATACCGATATGATCTGATGTCTCATCTCTGAAGTGGAGGGAAAGTTTCAGTTGAAGTTTCTTTCACATTTGAGATGAATCGATCCACCAACTCTTGTATTTCAGCCTTACTTCGTAATATTTCACCTATTTTGAGCACTTTCACACTTCTTTATGCTCAAATTGCAATAGTGCATAAAAACAGTAACATCAGGCTGCCAACCACAGTGGATTGAGGGAACACAGTTTAACAAGTACTAGGTACATTAGCATATTTTGAGCATTATACCTATTGGGGACTGTCAACATAGAAAGAATATTGCATATCCAAAACGATGCTGTCAAGATATTTATATTTTTTTAAGTTAGAACTGATGCGTTTAACAGAATAATTCATTTCAAAATGTTCATGTTGTCAACCGGAAAGTGTGTTTAAGCAGTTTTTCTCCAAATCTCTGACATCTTGATGATACAGCTCTAACCTGGCAGCAGTGCCATATGTCTGTTAAAAAAAAAAACACACTCCACAAAAAAAGGAATAGAAAACCTCCATAGTCCTAAAAAATGACAAGCACTTTGAGAAAGGAGGAAGAGGCATACCTCTGACAATTAAGTCTGCTGCTGCTGAGACAGTGTCAACTTCAGTGTGCACCATACACACGTACTTCCCAGAATGCTTTAGCTGAATGTTCCTCACCATCAGGTCACCTGCAAATCCCTAAAGGCAAAGAAAAATATTCGTATTAGAGTCTGGCAGAGGAAGAAATACAGTCAGGAAAATCACACATACAAATCCTTGCTTAGTCATACGCAGTAAATCCTCCACATAAGAATCTAGGAGGAATTCAACACCAGCAGAAAAAAAGATTATGTGACAGTCTGGCACAATTAATTCACCTTCTTACTGTAAAGAAGGCGACATAAAAATGTTTCTTCTAAGGATCAGTGTTGTTTATTTTTACCCTACAGCTCAGATAAATGGCTCTAGCCACAATTGTTAGTGTTTCTTTTTAGCAGTGCGTGTGCACCCACACACAGCTGTTTTGATTTTTTCCCAGCAAAATGCAGTGATTCAGAAATCACTCCCTTTGTGTTCAAAGCAAAGGCAAGTTAAACAGCTGTTGTGATTATGTTCACGGTGGAAATGTCAGTGCTGTGCTGCGACTTCAGACGGCCTGGTGTGCAGAATCACAGGAAGCATAAATCTTGTTATTACAAACATTTAGGCTCCTTTGTTCGGGGAGAAATTGATTGATTTACTCTTAGAGTGAAATCACCTCGGGGAAGGAGAAATGTCATCCCTGTTTGGCTGCTTGGTTTCCCCCTCAGACACAACATACAGTGACATCAGCTGACATCTGTGAACTAAGTGTAGCCAGTTTCTGTCACATGGGCTTAAAGGTAAAATCCGACCTTAAACAACACATTCCCTCGGTGCCTTTATGTTGTCATTCATCCAGTTTGACCTATACTTACAAGTGGAGCTTGACATTGTGAGAAATACACATATTACTACGTTGCCAAGAAAAACATGAAACGATTGATAACATTCTGGAGCGAGTGCTAGCAGGCAGTTAGCCTAGCTTAGCATAAAGAAAGGAGGCAATTTGATAATGTTCCTGCAGCACCTGATAGCTCACTTATTAAATTATGTTTCCATCTTTCCAATAAATGTTGAGCTACAGCCAACAGCAACTTATCTTGGAATAGCATACTTATCAAAGAAAACGTTTTACATGTACAGTAGCCTATAGCTGTCCAACGTAAAGGTTACAATGGGTCAAACAGCTGGATCTTTTTTAAAGTGTAGTAATAATATGATAATATAAGTGAGCTTACATTAGGCTGGCAGGTGGATTTTGTCACTTCAGGACAGAGTCAAGCAAGCTGTTTTAAGATGCTTCAAGTATACACAACAACAGAGAAATGTGACGATCCAATTAAGCCACTAACTGCCTTTTTGTTCTGATCAAGTAAAAAGTGTTAAAACCTGTTTTTTACATGTAGCTATTGCTTGTTAGGCATTATTTCGAACTACGGAAAAAGCTAAGTTAGCCATTTCTTCCTGGTTTCAGTCTTTATCCAACTCCACTGGCTCCCTGTTCAATCCCGTAAAAAACGTAATGCTCACTTACAAAAATGCTCACTTACAAACCCCTACATAACCTGCCACCCCCGCCCTATCTGGCTGACCTTCTTCAGGAGTACACCCCCTCTCACCCCCTCCGCTCCTCCTCTGCTAGTCTGCTAACCGTCCCCACGCCTCGTCACCATGGGTGCTCGGGCTTTTAGCTGCACTGCTCCCAGACTCTGCAACGCCCTCCCCCCGCACATCCGACAGTCAGACACAATCACCATATTCAAATCCCAATTAAAAACCCACCTGTTCAAATCTGCCTACTGACTGTAGTGCTCCCCATTATATGTTTCATTTGTGTCCACTTGATTGTCTCCTCCATGATTTCCTGTTTGTGTTTTTATCATGTTCTGTTGCCTATTAGTGTTTTCTTTTTTTTTAACACATCGTACGGTGTCCTTGGGTGTCATGAAAGGCGTCTAAAAATAAAATGTATTATTATTATGCTAGGCTAACTAGTGTTTGGCCCAAACCCAATACTTAAAGCACAGGCATGAGAGAGGAATTGATCTTCTCAAGAAAGCAAGTCTCCAAAGCTATTCCTTCAAGATCTTTCCCGATGTCAGTAATCGTCAGTTTTGTTTAATTTAATAACTGGGTGAACTTATTACAGTGCCAGGTTTTGTTGAGGAAATAGATGATTTAGAAGAACACAGATTTTTTTTTAAATGAATAACATATACTCTCATAGACAGGCACAAAAGCATAGTTCTCAAAACCTTCAATATCAGATCTAGCTTTAACAAAACCCGATGTAGGTCAAATCGTTGGCGCTGATTTAATTTTTACAAAAATAGCACTGATATAGTACATACCCCTCCTATCATCTCAAAGTGCTCCTGCCTGTTGAAATCTATTGCTTTCCCGTTGAAAAACCACTTGAAGATGGGACTCAGGGACGAGTCACTGGAGACCTCGCATGGCAGCACGAGGCTCTGTCCAACGCTGGCATCCAAACTCAAGGGTGGGACTATAATCTTTGTTGGATCTGCAGCATAGTGGAACATAAAAAGAGTTATATTTGTAACTGTATCTCTATACAATCCATTAAATTGAAGAAGGTAATAAAGCTTAATTTGCCCAGATTAGCCAGACAGATTCTGCTCTATCGGTGTAATTAAGTGACCTTAAACAACTTCACTTAGCGAGCCAATCCCTCCCATAACTCAGTGATGAATAATTAAACACACTGCAATCACAATGTCGAGGAACCCCGCTTTATAACAATCATCATTTAAAAACCCAAATCTGAAAATGCGACAGCAGCTCTTTTTTAAATTAAATGTTAGTGACAAAATATTCCTCACTCTCAGCTACAGACGGCGGTGGTTTGCCTCACTCAGCTACATGAACAATAACTCACAGCTGACAAAACCACGGATGACTTATACGTCTGTCAAACCCGCAGGAACATAAAACGGTTATATATTTCATTATCAATTTCATGCTTGAGTTAGAATTTATTTTCCCTTAACAAAAGTTTAAACCCTAGGCTTTAAAAAGGCACAGCAGTGAAAACCCGTGAATTTTTTTTTTTTTTTAAATACCTTTTACCACCAGCGTTCCTGTGCTGCTGGATGTTCCAAAGAGGTTTTTGGCCAAGCATGTGTACCTGCCTCCGTCAGATTTGGAGATGTTGGTGATACGTAGAGTCCCATCCTCCGTGATAGTCTGTCTGAGGAGAGGGACAAAACTGAAACAGCCTGTCTTGAGTTTCCATTGGCATAATTAAAGGTGACCTATCATGCAAAATGCACTTTTGTACGTCTTTTATACATGAATATGTGTCCCAGGGAACTTTGCATGATAGGTCACCTTTAATTATGCCAATGGAAACTCAAGACAGGCTGTNCAGCTTCCACAGATGACATGTTTGTATGGATTTATTGTCAAAGCACTTCAGATATTCATTGCTATCGGGATGTTAAGAATATTCCATGGAATATAACAAACTGTATCTCGAGCCGGTTTCTCAAACATACCTACCCTACCTTTAATTTTGTATTGTATAATAATTCTCATGTTAAATGTTTGTATTATTGTTTTACACATTCGAAATAAATCAAATCAAATCAAAATATAAAACAACCTTTGAATGATGACCTGATGACCTTGTTCACAGGGGAGGATCCATGTGGAAGATGGAAGGCTGACCATATCCAGCATCACTCTGTTGGACTCGGGGATGTTTCAGTGTGTGGCAGAAACTGAGCACGGAGCTGCCTACGCCAGCGCTGAGCTCAAGGTTGTTGGTAAGCAGTTTGTTTTACAACCATTTGAACCAGAGGTAGAGATACACTGTACACATATTGTGTTAGTGGAACGAAAGTGCTTCCTGTGTAAATAAATAATAAGAGGCTGCTCTGGCTTTTCACTGAGCCATGGCCTCGCTTCTTCATTTCCATAATTCTTTCATACAATAAGGCACACTGGTGGCCAAATAACATTTCCGTAATTGCTGGTGATGCACTTGACATTTTTGCTGATGCACGGCTGTTGCCCCCTCCACGAAGCGAGACAAACGGCCTTAAAACACAGATCTGTTCCTCAGCCTCCCCACCGGACTTCACCCGACGGCCCGTGAAGAAGTCAACAGTGATGCAGCGGGGGGGCGAGGTGGTGCTGGAGTGTCGCCCCCACGCTTCCCCCAGGGCCGCAATCTCCTGGTGGAGAGGGGGGGAACTCCTCCAGGGGGGCAAGAGGTAGGGTACTGCATGCAACGCTGTTTATTCAATTGATGGCATATTGTCACTGGCTTGAGCTTCAATCTCAGGATAGAGCTTTCTCATGTGGTCATTTTCATTACTAGGACTCATTGTTATGTATGCCCCTGATCAAGGGGACTTTTCAAGTGAGTTCAGAGCTTTGTTTGGATCAAGAACGTTTTCTTTTGTCAGATAGACACTTTGTTCTTCCGTAGAGTAATATGTTGGTTTTCTGTTGACACACAGTAGTTTGTCCTAAGCCTTTTTCTCTGGGTGGTAGAACGAGGCCATGGCCCCTACTCAATCAGTTTTTCAAAGCGCAAGATAGAGAGTGCAATATGTTTTAGCCGCTTGAAACTTCAAAGTGTCTCACAGTTTCACGGCTCTGCAAGACAGTCAAAGTGCTGGATATAGAACAGAGAACATGTAGGCACAGTCTCTGTGTGAAAACCACAGAGGAAAAGCTATCACACTACATCCTAGAGCGAAACTCTACCTCAGTCTTCATGACAGGCCAGACCATGTCATGATTTAAGCTCTGAGGAAACTCAAAGGAGCTAAAAGAAACATTTTGTAGTTGCACTTGGCCTTAGCAGGGAGTTACACTCACACAAGGAACCAACAGAGTTCAAGCTCAATTGCTGCTTTCTTAAATGTTTGGTGAAAGAGTTTGTTTGTAAATGTTCAGGTCGGTTAAGAGAAAAAGGGTTTTGTCTCGGTAAGTGCTAAGTTCAATTCACATATCTGAATCTGGAAGTAGAAACTGTGAGAATGAAACAAGATGTTGGTACCGGAAGCGTTGGATTTGGTTACCGTTTGTAGTCCGAGTAGTTTTGACCAATTGGGACTTTCTCTATCAAAACCAATCACTTCGACCCCGAAATACATTTTGGTGGTTAAAAAAACTGTTTTGCCAAATGGTCAACAAAATAAGCAACATAACATGACAGCTGTTACAACGACACAATTATGAGAAAAATGTCTCAAAGTCTACAGACAATATTATTCACGTTAATTTAAAAGGTGGATCCAGGCTTATATTTGTATTTGTTAAATGGAGCTCATTGGACAACATATTGGAACCCATTGGTTAGCATCTTCTGACGACTTAGCTTTTATTAGCCCTTTTTTTTATAGGCATTCATATGAAGATATCTGCTTGGCTCCAAATCCATTGCCAAAAAGAGAATAGGACTGATGACATTGCCCTACGCACTGAACAAGAAGTCTTGGCTCTGATATCCTTTACCTGGAAACACAAAAACAACAATCAATGTCAAAAATCAGTGACAATCAGAACCAGCAGGAATCCACTTGCAGCACTGTGAGGCTGAAGGCAGATCCGACCCTCTTGTAGACGCTCAAGACGCTGATATCAACCCCCAATGTGGATAATATTCATCCTAATGAAATCAAATGGGAGCTTTTTGGTACTTTTTGTCCTGAAAGGAATCCTGGTGTTTCCCTTCTAGACCATAGACGCTCAAATGAAAGCCTTTTATGTAAAGAACCATCGTGAAGCATTGTCGGGCTCCTGCCGTATAATTACTTTAACAGCATCAATTTTCTCTGAGAGCCTTGTTACTTTGTTTTATTCAGGCAGCAACTTTAATAAGTTATAACAACTTCCTCAGCCAGGAGACTTTGGAAACGGTAAATTAGTCCGATGTCTGAGATCTCTACTTTTTACTCGAATGAACACGTCTTGAGCTTGCTTGTTTGAAACATTTTGTCAATTTTTGCTACTCTAAGAAGATTGTTGTTTAAATAACAGGTATTTTAAACTAACATTGAAACCGCTTCCTGTGAAAGGAATCATATGTAAGGTAACATGCAAAGTAATATGATTTCTAGAATACCCATGTGGATCATCAGCAGTTAGATCAGGGGTGTCAAACTCAAGGCCCGGGGTCCAAATCTGGCCGTGACTTCATTTTATGTGGCCCGACAAGAGCTTGCAAAGAATATAATATGTTTATTATACAGTTACATGATGATTTACAGAAGCACGTTGCCCATAAACTACATGTCCCACAATGCATCTCAAATTAGACTTTTTTTCTCAGAATTTGACTTACTTTTTTTTTTAAACACCACTTCTGTTTTTTGATTGTTTTCCGTAATTTGGCTTTTCTTTTTAAATCATTTTGTGACATGCACACAGAAGAGACTTGCAATTATTTGCCCCAGACTTCTGCTTTCAGATGTAGTTAATTATGAAGTTATCCAATACAGAGGGAATAATGTAATATAATACATTGTTATATATATTTATGTATTTTTATATAGTCTTAAAGTTAAAACCGGCCCTTTGAGTGCAGCCATAATGCTGATGTGGCCCACGATTAAATTGAGTTTGACACCCCTGAGTTAGATGGTTTATTAACACACAGTTAAGGCAAGGCTGTAAATATCAATACGGAACCAATGAGACTATGTGAAAAGTCATCAGCCTTGTGACATTTAGTTGTAGGGCGAGATTAACTTGCAGCCTCCATCTTGGATGAAAGCTTTGAAATATATGTTTGAAAAACTGAAGTATTTGGCATAACTTTAAACTGTAGCCACTTTCATTAAAAAATATTAAAGGTGGAGTTAAAACTCTGCAGACAATTGTCACTCGGTCAACACAGTACATATTGTCTGTGGGGATATTATCAGCAGCTGGAAACAAAATGGAGAAACTAATAGTCAGTCGTAAAGTGAGTCAGTCGAGATGAGTTAAGATGAACAAGCAGTGGAAAGGAGGCATTAGACTCTTTGGGCTGAACCCATACACATAAAGGTATGGGAGGCGTGTGGACTAGCGCGTTGGTGTTCGGATCAGGGGGGCTCAAACAGGTTCAAACCCCACTGCAGTCAGCATGTCGTTGTGCCCCTGGGCAAGACACTTCACCCCAAAATGCTCCTGTGGGGAATGTATGTTCTATTACAAACTTAAAACACAGCGATACTTTGTTGAACTAAGTGACCCGACCAAAGATAGTCTTTTGGAAACCCATGTCAAAGTTTCAAATGTCTCAGATTTTTTTTTAGAGGGTTTTATCCTGACGATCTAAATTGTGTTTCTAATTGAAACAGTCTTACCTTAAACAGCCCTGTACACGGTCACAACATTTCTTTTTTGAGTGCAAATACTTTAGATAAGTCTTTCAAGGTTGAAAGGAATTCATCAACTTAAGTACCCTATGTGTAAAATGAAACTTATTAGCTCAGAGCAAAGTGTACAATAATCATATATTTGGTTAATACAGTTCATGAGTGAATGAATACATGCATAGGAATAGAATTTATTAAGTTATTGCTTGAATTGGATATTAAAAAAACATATGTTGTCCTAGTTAATTACGATCATCACACTTGACTATTAGTGCACCTACTGTATATTAGTCGAGTGGTATATTTGTCAAATATTATCAGGATCCAACTCTAGATGGTAAAAACAAATGCATAAAAGAGATACAAAATAATGACATTCTTATCAGTAAGTTTACTTATTTATAACAGTGGCATATGATAACTCTTAATTTGTAGTTTCAATGTGAATGCCGGCTATGCATGCTGCTTATTTCTAAGATAAGGGGTAAAGGCTAGCTGCTGTTATTCTCTTTCTGCTTTCTTTTGGGCTCTTGCTCAGATCAATATGTACAGCCATATTTCCATAGACTATGTAAGCCACGTGACCTTTCGCAACATGTGACCAATGAGATTGATTAGTTATCAACTTCTCCATGGATCAGTCATGAGGAAAGAGAGAAAAAATTACCCAGGCATTACCGAGGCAGCGCACATGGACAAAGAATACAAATTCACCGCATTACGAGAGTTTGTCGACGAAGCAGATAGTGCTTCACGTTTCTATTTGTTCCGCAGCTCATTGCCCCTCAGGTCATGTTCTCAGTGCGCCTCCATCCCTCAGTGTTTGATATTTTCGTCAATAAATCAGCACAAAGCACCCTGTGTCAGACATGCTCACAGCGTCTCAGATTGGCCCCAGTGAATACATATTTATTCCAATGTAGAGCCAATGTGGAATTGTTAGATTTTTGTGCCGGCTGCTCGCAACATTTCTGTTTGATTTACTCAAGCCAAAAGGTCAACACAGGAGCGCATTAGGTCCCTCGTTAATGCAAATGTTTACATGCTTTCCGTGGCATGAACAATAC